TGAAACATTTCCCAGCTCCTGAAACATTTCCTAGCTCCTGAAACATTTCCCAGCTCCTGATTTACTCTTACAGGTACAATTAGAACTCCTAAAAAGTATAATTTGGAGTATTCTGGGTGGCTCAGCACCCTTTAATGTACAGCACTCAGCAATCCATCTGAAGAGTTTTGAAAAGGATCAATTTTGTAACTGCTTCTTTGGTCCACTATGAGCAGTTTGGGTTTTATGAAGTTCAGGGGAATGTATTCTTGGGGGACACAAGGCTATGGGAGAAGCCCAAATCTAGCTGAAGAAACATTCTACCATGCAAAAGCTGTGGAGATGTGTTGCTGAGGGACATGATTTACTGGTGGACTGGGCAGTGCTGTGTTAACTGTTACATTTGATGATCTGAAAGGTCTTTCCCAACCTAAACAATTCTGTGATTCTGTAAGAAGGACCCACAAGCCAAGGAACCCCTGAACAACCATGTTCTCTGAAGAACTCTGCTTCCAGCTCTTGGCCCCACTTGCTTTTCACAGCAGAGTGTAAAGCTGCTAACAGGTGAGTCCCTGAGCTGCTGCAGGAGCTTCATTTACCCCTGCTTGTGAGCCTCCAACTGAGGAGCTGCAAAGTAACACAGACACTTGTGGCTAAAATATGGGGTCACATGAGCAAAGGAGATTTAAGCATTGCCTAAACTATGGCCAGCAGCAGCACTGTGCAGTGCAGAACTGAGCTGCCCAGAGCAGCAAGATCCCACAAGGCAAGAATGGTGCCAACTGGGCAGCTTAAAGCCTGTTAACAGGACAGAAATCCTCTTCCAGGAGACACGTGTGCCCTGCAGTTCTCTCGAGCTGGAGAGGTTCTCCAGTTCCTCAGGCCAGAAGGATGGGTTTGCCTCTTCTGGTTTCTACAAGATACACTGATTGTCAGGAGGCAGAGCTTACCATTTTTTATCTGAACGCAGCTGTGGCATCTTCTGCCTGCTGGGAAGCCTGAGAATTGAAAAAAAGGCATTTATTAGTTGCTTTAAATTGCATGGACAAGTGGTGATTGAATCTCAACACAGAATCATGGATAGGAGTCACTTGTTTTATTTATAAGGGGCTTCTTCCTACAACCACTGGTATGACATCTCCAACTGAGCAATTTTGGGTTTGATTCCTGCTTCTTCTCCAGCTATGTGCTGGAATCTCAGTCCTCAGAGTCCAGCTCTGCCCTCTAGCTTGGTGAAAAGCAGCAGCCAAGGGCCTGCAAGGTTCCAGGGAAAGCCCTGCTGCTGACCAGGCCAGCACAAGGTCCCTCAGAGGGAGCAGAGATGACAAATATCTCCTCCTGGGAGGAGAGCCAGCCACAAACATCTCCCCAGCCCAGGGAGGGAGAGAAGCCAGGCTCCTAAATATGCTTCAGAGGGGTTGGTCCTCACTGCTAAAACTAACCCAGCAGGCCCTTGAAGCCAACGTGAAGCCACATCCAGTGCAGGAAGGTTATGAGGAGAAGGTTTTCAGCCTGCCAGCAAACTGCACCTTTGAGCATCTTGGCCACTCTCTGGTTGACAGGGGCAGACAGGTGAAATTCCAGACTCACCAACTTTTTCGTGAGGTTTTGTGGCAATCTCCTCCCAGGTGTTGGTTTCCAGGTTGTAGGCGTGGATCTGGAGGGAGGAAGAGGAGCCATTAGTTCCTCCTGCTTCCCCCAGCACCACCAGGATGCAGTTACAGGCTCTGACCCAGGGAGCCACTATAAATAACACCTTTTATTTTCATTAAGTGTGGAAATAAAAATAGCTCATCTCAGCCAGGGACTAAGCAGGTAGAAAATCACCTTCAAGGGCCAGCTTGCCAAAGCTTTTCACCTCAGGCTTTGCTGTTTGAGCCTCACAGCTGAAGGAAAAGAAACTGCTCTTAAAAAAAAAAACTGGCCTGCTTAAAACCCACACCCTCCAGTTCTCAAAAGTATTTAGAAATACCTCAAGCTGCACGTAAGGAGAAAAGAAATGCAGAGAATGGAGATTTAAAAATCATGTTAACTGTTGCTGTTTCAGCTTTTTTTTTTGGAGGGGAGCACTACTGAAAGTCTCCTTGTTTACCAGTTTTGGTGTTCAAGATGAATTCACTCCTCTCTCCCCAAATTTTACTGGAGAAACATGGTTATCACAGGAAAGGAAAAGAAAGTGTATGATTAATGGAGCAGAGAAGGAAAGAGTCACCAGTTAATCTGAATTTAACATCAAGGAATTCCTTCCATTGGCACTTTCTTTGGCACAAATACAACATCTAGAAAGATGTCCTAAGTGGTTTTAAATAAGTTTTGATAACAGGTCTACAGAAATGAAGCTGTGGAGCAGATCATCTGTAAGTCAAGAGGACATGTCTGTGGCAACACCAGGAAAACAATCTGCTCCTAGTTATATTTTTTACCTAGCTCTCCAGACAAAACCAGATGAAAAGACTCTGCTGGTGACACTTCACTGCAGAAAACCTCCCCAGGTCAGTGCTCAAGCCTTCTGATCACCTCACCTTATCTAAGGAATAAGCTGTCCAGGAGGTTCCACCTCCCAGGATATAAATCCGTTGACCATCATGGGCGATTTCATGTCTGTACCTGCAGGTGCAAAGAGGGACACAGGACAGCAGGAGGAATCAGTGCAAGTGAGCAGCAACAAAGCTTTCTGGAAAACACCAACAAAGCTTTCTGGAAAACACCAACAAAGCTTTCTGGAGAACACCACCAGATTTGAGCAGTTGAAGCTGACAGCCCCAGCCTGGCTGAGCTGCATCAGTCCCTCCTGTTGGAGGCTTTCAGAAGATGTTGGAAGTTTTTCAGGAGCAATCTTAAGCAGCAGCCCAGAAGCTTGAAAGGTATTTTCTGAGAGCAGAGCACCATGGGACTTAATTAGAATCTTAAAATCTTTGAGGTTGGAAAAAGATCATGGAGTCCAACTGTTCCCCCAGCACAGCCAGGTCCCCACTGACCCACCAGGGCTTGGAAACCCCTACAGGGGTGGGGACTCCACCACTGCCCTGGGCAGCCTGGCACAGGCCTCCACAGCCCTCCAGGGCAAGAAATTGTTCCCAAAATCCAACCTCAACCTCCCCTGGGGCAACCTGAGGCCATTTCCTCTTGTCCTGCCAGGAAGCCCAAGCAAGATAAGTACAATGGAGCACCATGATGGCCTTCAATACTCCATCTCCTCCTCTCAATGGCCATCAATTGATCTCCCACCTTTCCTTCCTCCATGCCTTGCTACAGATTAGGACATGGGGATCTACCAGAGCATCTTTCCCTCCTCAGCTCTCTCAAGTCCTCAGCTCTGTTTTGGGACCACACACTCCAGATCTGTGTCCTGGGAAAGGCTTCACAGCCCATCCCTACATCCCCCTGCCCACCAGAGTGCAGGAGCAACACTTGTGCCCAGTTCAGAGCCAAAAACTCTGCTCCCAGAGTGCCCTGTCTGTGCTCACTCAACTCCCTCCCAGTAAAGCTGGTGACTCCCCAGTGTAAGGGCTCTCTGAGACTGCCCAGCTTCTCACCTCTCCTCTGGCATGTCACAGGACATGTTGTTGGGTTTCAGCTGGATCCACTCTCTAGTGTTGAGGTCCAGCTTATGCAGGTCAGTGCTGTAAATGTAGCCAGTTGTTCCTCCAAACACGTAGAGACAACCATTGATGATGGCCATGGCCTGGAAGGTGAGAGAGAAACCCCTTAGAAAGGACAAGTGATGGCAGTGGCTGGAAGAGGGAGAACTTCCACCCTCCCAAAGCAAGACACTGCCTGCACAGCTCTGCCTACAGCTTAAAAATGATGAGTTCAGGAGGAAGTGAAAAGCTGCCCTGTGGAAAAGGCCCTGAGGGGAGGGTTGGTTGACAGCCAGCTGATCTCAGGGATCAGAAAGACAAATCTGTGCAGCAGGGGCTCCCAGGAACTAAAACTAAAGCACAACTAACCCTGAATCTCTTCCACGTTGACTTTTTCTTTTACACAGATACCAGCAGGGAGATTCTTACCAGCCAGCTGTCAGGTAGGCAGTGGCACTAGGTGTGACAGAGGTCCCAAGGCAGTGGCTAAGCCAGAGTGGGGAATGGAGACAGCCTGGAGACAGCCTGTACCACTCAACAGCTCATGGACTATGAGCCCACTGAACTCAGGAAGGCTGATGCAGTCTGAGGTGGAAGAGATCTAAGCTCTCTCTGCTCCCAGCTGCCTGTTTGCCAAGGGCCAGCTCAGGACCACTCCCCTTCCCCTGAGTGTCTGCTGCACACCTAAATGAGAAATGAGCTGGGCTCTAAAGACCTGCACCACAGGTACATGGGCAGGGTCACTGGGAGGCACAGCTAAAGGTGGCAGTCCTCCTGGCAGAGTGAAGTTGTGAGGTTTGGGCACCATGCTCACTCAGACAAGGCCTAAGAACCACTGTGCTCACTTAGAGTTTGGGGTTTTAAAGGCTTTGAGAAGGCTACAGAGCAACCCCAGAAACTGCCAACCAGTCCTTCAACCAGACACACTTCTTCATTCAACTGCAGCAGGCATTCAGGTAACAAACTTCAGCTTTTCTAATTACAAGAAAGTTCTTTCTTTTCTTCCCTTGTTCCTTCCCTTCTTCCTTTTTCTCTTATTTTCTTT